TCCTCGACCCGGAGCTTTCTTTGGAAGCTCAGGTCGAGGAGTACTCCTAAGCTGCGGACCTTATCCCTAAGAGGGAGTGTTGCACCATTATTAAACCAATAAAAACACACAATAAAGTGGCACAGTCGCACTAAGGTATCATTAACACTATTAAAATCTTTAAAATAACCTGAACAAAAAAAATTGGGAAATTAAAATGCTATTGCCTGATGCTACAAATAACAGAGAGAAGGCACCAGGCAAACTTCTTTGGGGAGCTGGTTCCATGTAATCGCTCTGTTTTTCTCTTCTGGCAAAACTATCATCAGAGAGGGAGACCTGTGGGACGGGAGCAAAGGCCTGTCCAGTGTAGGGACCGCTGATCTCACAGCGGCTGCCCAGATGCCTCTTGGGAGGCACAGGAGGAGGAGAGGGGAGAAGGATCCTTTTGGCTGCGGCTTCCTGAGCAAGGGAGTTTCAGCCCTGCAGTATAATGCCCAGCCACTATCGCATGTGACCTTGATAAGGAAACTTTCCTTTTTTCATCCAGGCTCTGTTGACCTTTGAGGAGGTCACTGTGTGCTTCACGGAGGAGGAGTGGGCCCTGCTGGATGCTGGCCAGAGAGCCCTGCACAGCCAGATCATGGAGGAGAATCGCAGGACTGTGGCCTCTCTCGGTAAGGCTTTCTGTTTTTCTGCTAAGGGATAATACTTGGTTGCAACTGCCAGCCTGATAAAGAAGACAAAATTACCGTTTGTAGCCCATGTCCTAGATTTTTTATTTTCTATTTTAGGGCCTTGCCCTCAAAATACAGTGTGTAAAAACAAGAGAATCAAGTTTTATTATTAAATCCTGGAATTTACCAGGCTTGCATATGGCTGTGAACCACAGGACTCTCACTCATGGGACTGCCATAAGCCGGGGATCGTGTGATGGCATGCAGGAAAGCAAAACGCTTATCGCCCTGCCTTCCCCTCAACAAAGGTGCACATGGGAGCTCACCCTCAGGAGCATCAAGAAAATCAGAACAGGAATCTGCATCCGGTCCCCAAGTCAGCAGGAAACCCTGGGAACCACCACAAATAGGAACGCAAGGTTAACCCATCGCAGAATCCAAAAGTGCAGCTAAAATCATAACAATCAAATAGAAAAACCCTACAATAAAACCTCACAGTATCATAAGTTATTAAACCAATAAAAACACACAATAAACACACAATAAAAGTAAAAGCTGGCAAGCTGCTCCTTAAGTGAAGTACGGATACTCAAGGCATCATGTTTCATGTAAGGAAGAAATTCCTGTTCTGACAGGTGAGCCGGCCATGGAGTCAGCTTGGGAAGATTCCTGCTTGCAGAGATGGCACAGGCCTCTATGATCCCACGAGTGTTTGCCTGCCAAGCTGAACCTGGGTCTACACAATCCCAGCAATATTTGTTGTGCAACACAGAGAGTCCGTTAATGCCGTTCAGCCCATTCTAAGAGCAGCATCCTATCAAAGTACTTTTGATTCTTCCCTTCATTGCAATCAGTACTGAGTGTGCTCTGTTATTTAAACTTCTGCTGGTAACACAGGCTTCTTCCAAATTCTTGCTCTCGTTCCAGGAAGTGGCAGATGGGAAGAGGAGAATAAGAGAGAACTACATGGGTTGTCACTGGAAAGAGACAGAAGGAAAACTAGTGACCAGTAAAGAAGGAAGACTGAAGGTAATCACAATGGGAGGAATGATTGCCTTGCTTTGCAGGGCAATGGCGGCCAGAACACAATCCAAGAAGAGGTACACACTGAACAAGAAAAGAACGCAGACCAAGTGAACAAGAGAACATACGGTTCTGAATCAAACAATAAAGCGCACAGCAAACTTCAAACACAATAAATTGTATAAATGCATGGCGTGTGGAAAGAACTTCACTGAGAAGGCAAAGATGATTTACCATCAAAGAATTCACATAGGGGAGAAGCCATATCAGTGTTTGAAGTGTGCAAAGAGCTTCAATTGGAAGACGCACCTCACTCGGCATCAAAGAATTCACACTGGGGAGCAGCCTTATCAGTGTTTGAAGTGTGCAAAGAGCTTCAGTCGGAAGACAGATCTCACTTCTCATCAAAGAATTCACATAGGGGAGAAGCCATATCAGTGTTTGGAATGTGCAAAGAACTTCATTTGGAAGACGCACCTCACTCGTCATCAAGGAATTCACACTGGAGAGAAGCCATATCAGTGTTTGGAGTGTGCAAAGAGCTTCAATTGGAAGACGCACCTCATTCGGCATCAAAGAATTCACACTGGGGAGAATCCTTATCAGTGTTTGAAGTGTTCGAAGAGCTTCAATCGGAAGACACACCTCACTCAACATCAAAGAACTCACATTGGGGAGAAGCCATATCAGTGTTTGAAGTGTGCAAAGAGCTTCAGTCAGAAGACACAGCTCACTTCTTGCTAAAGAATTCACACTGGGGAGAAGCCATATCAGAGTTTGGAGTGTGCAAAGAGGTTTGGTTGGAAGACACACCTCACTCGGCATCAAAGAATTCACACTGGGGGAAGCCATATCAGTGTTTGGAGTGTTCAAAGAGCTTCGGTCGGAAGGCACAGCTTACTTCTCATCAAAGAATTCACACTGGGGAGAAGCCATATCAGTGTTTGAAGTGTTCAAAGAGCTTCAGTTAGAAGACACACCTCACTCGGCCTCAAAGAACTCACACTGGGGAGAAGCCATATCAGAGTTTGGAGTGTGCAAAGAGCTTCAGTCAGAAGACAGATCCCACTTCTCATCAAACGATTCACACTGGGTAGAAGCTGTATCATTGCTTGGAGTGTGCAGAGAGCTTCAGTCAGAAGAGATATATTCGTTCACATCAAAGAACTGACACAGGGGAGAAAGCATATCATTGTTCGTAGTGTCCAAAGAGCTTCAGTGATGGGAGAAGCCTGATTTCCCATCAAAGAATTCACATTGGAGAAAAACCATATAAATGCTGGGAGTGTGGAAAGAGCAATTCTCAGATGGTAACACTTAATTCTCATCAAAGACTTCATTCAGGGAAGAAAGTTTAAAGTGGTTCATTTTGTGGTCAGTCTTACGTAAATAATCAGATGATTCACACATGGGATAAACCTTACAAATGAGTGGCAACCAACTGATCTATTAATGTGTTGGGACTGAGATAGCAACATTTCTTTTTACATGCTGTAAAGGCTTGTGCAGACGGTGAGGATGTGGAATAGGAAACTTTCTTAGTTAAATGCATTTTACATTCAATTAATAAATATTTTGGTACAAGCATTAAGAATAAATAAATGAGTACAAATCACCCATCTGAGCATGCACAGAGCAGTTTGTTGAGCCCACTCTGGTGTTTACCTCTAGCAACTCTCCTTATGAAGAGGAGGGTCCCATCCCCACGGGGGGGGGGGGTGCTTCTCTCCACTCGCTGCTCATTCAGTTGGGCTTCCTGCCTCTGCCTCTGCCTCATCCTCCTCCATCTGGCCATCTTGAGCTAGCCTATCCTCCCCAGTTCCATCTTGGACTTTCTGATTCCAAAGAAATGCCCTGGGATGCAGCCAGCAGTCTGTGACAGCGATTACCCCGGCCTCAATTCCCGACCGGATTGTTGTAACACACTCTGCGTGGGGCGGCCCTTGATGAGGATCCGGATACTCCAGCTGGTTCGGAATAGAGCAGCCGGGATATTTAGAGGGACCGGCATTCCCATGCGGAGCCAGTCCTCTCCTGCTTGCACTGGCTGCCGATTGAAGTCCAGGCCAATGGAAGGCGCTGGTGATGCCCCAGAAATGGCTTGGTCCCGGATACCGGCAAGAGCGCTTTCTCCCCTATAGGCCCGCCCACCCTCTGACATCTGGGGCAGAGGTCCTTCCTGGGGAGGCCTCCTTGAAAGAGATTAGAGATTGGCTGGGGGAGGGCCTCCTCTGTGGTGGTGCCCCATTGTGGACTACACTCCCCAGAGAGGTTTTCTGGGTGCCAGTGCTTCTTTCTTTTTGGCGCCAGGCGAAAACCTTTTCATTCTCCCATTATTTTAATGCTTAATTGGTTTTACTTGTGATTTTATTGTGAATTGCTGGATGCTGTGCCATTTTTACCTGTGCTTGTTGTAAACCGTCTTGAGATGCTAATAATGGGATGGTGTATATAAGCTTTTAATAAATAAATGAATGAATAAGTGTTAAGCTGCCAAACCCAGTGGGATAAAAATTGGTGCAGATGCAGGTTGAAAATAACTTGCCGTGAATCCCTGTATTGTTTCCGCACCATTTTTCCGATGGGCAGATCATAGATTTCTGACACGACCTCCCAGAAGGGCTGCCCAAGAGAGACTGGATGGACAGGAGGCCTTTTCAGGAAGCTCAGCCACTTGAGCTCTGCAGAGGCCCCTGGACGAGGGACCGGCTGGACCGCTTCTCCAGACGGTCCTCCAGGCCAAATGCCCCTTGAGGAAGTCTTCTTGAATGCGCAAGAGGCGTTCTATGCACAGGCAGCCCCAGGGCCGCCCCTCCCTGTGTGATGTGGGTCCCGACCTCCCAAGGGGCACCTGGGCACTCAGGCCTGGGCGCTCAGTCTCGGCAGGGGGAACAGGGTGCTCCTGTTGTGCTGGTGTAGCGGGAACCTCAAGCCATGGGGCACCTTTCAGCCCCCGCCGCTGAGGTCTGGCCCCTCCTTTGGCCATGGGAGCAGAGGCACACGGGCATCCGCACGGCCTCGTTCGGAAGAGTCCCCTGCTCTCTTGCCCGTCTAGTCCAGGGGTGGCCAAGCGATGGCACGTGTGCTGCAATGGGGACGCAGAGCCCTCTGTCGGCACGCGAGCCACGTCGCCCCAGCATCGCCCCAGGAGCCGAGCATCGGATAACAGCACACGTAGGGGCCATGCGCCTGCTCGGAAAGGAGTAGCGGCACAAAGCGACGCTGTCACGAGCCGCGACTCATTAGTCGTGACTCGTCTCAGCTCAGGAAAAACTCAGTATTCAGGTGTTATTGCAGGGTTGGCACGTTGCGTTAAGTGGGTTTTCGGGTGCAGTTTGGGCGCTCAGTCTCTAAAAGGTTTGCCGTCATTCATCCAGTCTGTAGAGTATTTCTGGAAGATCGTTCCAAGGCGACGGTACATTGAGCAGCTGTTGAGGACCCAGTGCAGAGTGCAGCAGTGCCAGGATGAGTGGGGTGCAAGGGGGGCGAGGCCCCAGTGCAATGCCCCGCAGGGCAGAACCGCATCGGAGAGGGTGTCGTGGGCCCTCCAGTGCGCAGCTCAGGGTGCTGACCTGGCTGGCTGGCTGATCCGCTTGGGTGCCTGCCACACGGGCGCCACACACGCAGCAGTGGGAAGAATTCCTCCATTCTTCCCACTGGGTGGCCGCTTTGCCCCAGGAAATGGGATGTGGGAGGAATTCTGGACAGGACCCGCCACGCTGTCTATTCATCCAGTGGCTTCATTGATTAAACTGGCGTGTGCTGACTTAAAACAATTCCCGTTATTTTAATCTATTCGTATTAAAAGCTTTTCTAACTCCTCTGGGACAGACACCTTGGGTCGGCATACAAAGAATGAGTAAAATAAAGCAAACCCCTCAGCATCTGACAATTCATCCACTAGAACCCTGGTTAAAATCAAATGAGCGTTAAAATAGTGGGAAAATAAAAAGGGTTTTGCCTGATGCTGAGAAGAATATGCTGTCTGTGCCAGGCAAGCCTCTCTGGGAGAGTCTTCCACAGCGGGGGGCCCCCACAGAGAAGGCCCCCCCCCCGGGCTCCTCCCTCCTTGGACAACCCACCCGGTCTGAGAACGTGGGGCCCCTGATGCCCTCCTGCACATGACTGAGGTGCCCCCTCCATCCCTACTGGAACAGCCGGCCTGACCGAAATGGGGGTGGAGGGGAGGAGCTGCCCCACCAAGGACGGCCCTTCCTTCACGCAACAGGTTTGGGAGTCCTCAGATGCCCTCGTTTTTTAGTCAGTGCCGTGCCATTCGCACTCTCTTGCAACGGAGGGGGGCTTGTGGCCCTGTTTGTGGAAGGAAAGACAAGCTCTGGCGCCAACCCCATAATGGAGGCGCGAG